CGTGGGGCCCCGGGTGGCGCCAGACGCCACCGATGATGAGGCCGGCGCAAAACGCCAGCCCAGCGATGACGTCACCGACACGGGTGATCAGTCAGACGTCGCAGGTAGGTGTGGACACTGTCGGCAGGGGCGGATCCAGAGCAACGACGGCCAAACCATGCTTCTCCAAAATTGAGAACATCGGCCAAAAATTAACAGATTATCTATAGTGCTGTATATCAAATATAATTGTTTAAAAAACAAATGTTTTTTAAAGCTCCCACCAGGGCAAATTCAAGAAACATTCGAAGACCTTTTTAAAAGTGATCAAACTTTCAGATTTGGGCAGAAGATGTATCATTGGCCTTTTCTAGAATTCCCTCGACTGCAAGCTCACGATTTCCTCTGGTGAAACCTTTGAGAGGCAGGAGATGCCAACGAGTCAGAATTAATGCATGCATTCGACGGCATTGAATCCCGGCCCCCCAACATGTTCGGGTGGGAATTGACATGGATGGATCAGCTGACCTTTCTAAAGAAGCTGAAACAAATACAAGAGTCGAATATCGAACGTCAATTTCAGAAGACATTTCACAGAATTCAGAAGACACACACAGACGCACACACAAGAAGACAGACAGACATGATATTTAAGGTGACAATCTGGCCGACAATTTAGGAATGAATGCCTTTCACCTACCCGGGATCTTTTTCAGCTATTCAAATCGTAACATGCCGCATTTAAAATTTGTGGAATAGGTGTAATAGCGCATGGTTTTGATTTGACGGCATCCCACGATTTCTACATGGGGAATCATCATTTCTGCAAGTGGCGTTATCATTCCCACTCGCAGGACCCGTTCAGGGTCCAGCGTAGTGTCGGCCCCACCCCTCCGGTCTCACGAATGGGGCCCAGGTCTGACCCGCCCGCTGACCTGGACCGGGATATGCCTGAGGGCGACGTTTAAGGGGCCGACTTCGGCTCGCCAGGCCGGTCATGTAACAGAGATCACACTCAGTTTACTTTGCGCTGCTGCCAACAATAGCTTTCGGGTGATCGCACAATCAGTATCGCATGGCGGAGGTAGTGGAGAGAGCGGGGCGAGCAACAATGCGTGAGGTTGTTTCCTCTGTCCTGCATTCAATGGCTGGGTTAGGTCTGGCTGATGAGGCGCTGTCCGTTTGTACCCTCGCAGCGTGTTCTGTTTTTCATTCACACAGTCCAGTGTTTCCTTTTCGGCATCAAGAGAATACCGTTGTTACCAGACGCGCGTCCTCGTTAATCGTCAATACATCACCTCTTGCAATAGGCTGACGGCTAATGTCACCGTCAACCGGAAAAGATCATGGAGGCGTATCATCCGAGCGGTGTGCCCTCGATGTGGCGTTATTTGACTCGCCTTCACTCGAGTGTCGCTATGTGTTCCGCAAGCCTTACCGTAAACATCCTCGATGAGGTCGTCGATCTGTTCCGGGGTCATGGCGACCACACGGCCTGGGATCGGCCTCCGGCGGTAGCACCACTGGCTCACTGGGGGCGGCCGCGTCCAACTGGAACCACCGCCGGCGTCTGGCAGCCCGCCACCTCACACACTCTGTCGTACGCGCCGATCTCCCGTCTGCTCCGCCCCTCCCGTCCCGCTGCGGGCCACGCCACGCCTCCGCCCGTCTCCTCCGACACCGAGCCGGCCGCCCGTCTGCCCGCCCCAGCCGGCGTCAGCGCCCGCCAGAGTCCCCCAGCGTCCCCCTGCCGCTGCCGCCCCTGCGGCGGGCCGCGATCGGCGGCGGCGCGGAGCCGGTGGCGCGGCCCCTGGCCCGGCCGGATCGACGTCCGTCGGCGTCGGCGCTCGTCGGCTTCGTCGGAGCGGGCCGTCAGCGGACCGCGGTCGCACCGCGAGCGGACCGGCCGGTGAGGCTGTGACGCCGCCGCCGGGTGTGCTGGGCGGCCAAATAAACGGCGCCGCTGGGATCCAACCAGCCCTGACGTCATGTCAGTCAGCTAAGGTCAAAACATAACAATGGACAGATTCTCCCAAAAGTGACTGTGGTGCGGACTCCGTGGACGCGGTGGGGAGAGGGAGGGGCGGTTACACCCGTGAGCAGACATGTGTCTGGGTCCCAAGCGTCGACCCTGGATCCCATAAGGCTTCGTGTTAGATGTATCCTGAGATCGTTTTGCGGGCTCAAGGCACGTGTCTGCCGCTGGGTATTCTCAGGTGGCACGCACGGGTTCAGGAGAAAAAAATCAGGAGAAAGCCTGTAACACTTAACGGAAAATATGTTGATTTCTAATGCATGTTCAGGCATCGAACAATCAGCCTTCCCTCTGCCAACGGTCCACCCATTCAAACGATCTGCCAAAAACAGCCCATCATTGAGAATAGTGAATTGGGGTGGCAAGAACACACACCACAGCAGTCCGATGCGATGGCAGCTGCGTTTTTCTGGCTGGTCTTTGTGAGAGCTTTCCGACATGTTGGGGCAGCGAATATTTTAAAAGGCTTCAAATCCAGAGACCGATGGAAATTGCTGTACATTCCATGTTTCCTGCCGGCGCCACGATTTGGCGCGCGCGCGAGGTCGCAACGCTGTGTTGTGATTGGCTGGCGTAGGCGGCAGTGAGATTTGGTCGAGAGGCAGTTACCTGCCACCTTGGGCATAATTCTAAAGCATGCCCTGATGAAACCTGGGAGAGCAGGACCAGTTACGTTTAATAAAAACACCGGGCACTGCCCCTGCAATACCGTCAAGCCATAATAAGGATATCAGGTTTAATTATTTTCGGGTTCAAATAATGCAGTCAAGGCCTTGTAACGGCACTGAACTTCTCCCTGCAGTCACTACCACCGACGTCATGGCAACCGCCGTGAGCACCTCTGCTGGAGCGAAAAAAGTTTGTGATTGGCCCGGCGGACAAGGACCTGTGGGTAGGTTGAAGTTTAAGCCAGTGCGTCACATGAACGATGTGATGCCCCCACTCTCAAAGCCAAAGTGCACCTCGAAAAGAGACTAATACACGCCACGACGAGATATCAAAGCAATGGTACAACGTTTCGTTGAATTCGCGGGACCATAGCTTCATGCTCGCATGTCTTTTTGTCTAAACAGTGTTTCAAGCTTTGTGAAACCTGCTGCACACATTTGTTACATTGGTGTGCCGCAAACACTACAAAACACACGTTGGAAAAAGCAAGGCAAATTAAATATTCCTTTCACAGCGGTGATCAGGGAGTCGAATGAAACGTTTCCCGCAAGGGTGGATGCTTGAATTCCCCATTCTGGGCTATTCAAAATGCCTTCGAGAAAATTGGTATGACTTATCAAATCGCACGCGTCCAACATAACAATAAATCAAAAAGAAAAAAGGTTGGATACCTTTTTAGACCTTTTAAAGCTTTTAGAGTGCCGCGAAGTGACTTCGCATCCGCCCGACCTTTCGCCACTGGGCTCCATGCTTTTAGATAACCTAAAGAACCGCGTCCACGTAGACAAACCAGCAAACCTTCAAGAGCTAAGGCCGCCTTCAGACTTGCGATGGGATGCATCACCGCCGACAGGGTTGACGGGAGCAGCCGACTGTCTGCAGCATGTTCAGCTGCTGCACGTTCTGGACCGCCAGGGGGGCCATGTGGAACATCTTTTGTCGTCACTGTTTGACGGATGTAGAATCTCTGATGGCTACCTCTGTCGCTGGTTATGTTTTGCCATGAAATTGACGGCCAGATGCCACTAGTCACGATTGTGCGACATATACACTTGTCATAGTAAAACGTTAGTCAACTTTTTCTGATCTACCCTGTTCTCTGACTGCCGACCCCGCGAGCCGTTCCTGCATCCGCCCGTGCTTTCGACGCCGCGAGCTTCCCTGTAACCGCCCCTGCTGCCAATGCCGCGAGCATCCCTGTAACCGCCTCTGCTACCGACGCCGCGAGCCGTTCCTGCATCCGCCCCTGCTGCCGACGCCGCGAGCCGTCCCTGCATCCGCCCCTGCTACCGACAACGCGAGCTTCCCTGTAACCGCCCCTGCTGCCGACACCGA